ATACATACATACATACATCCATGCACACATTGACATACATGCATGCACACATGCACATATACTTCACTTCCGCATTGCAAAGGTCGGTCTTTGCGAGTGGAGACGTAGGACAGGATACTTCCCGGCTATAAGCTGTGGCGTATTGCCACATCCCGGAACCTCAACCGAAGGGCGCTGTGACCTCCGGTGCGAACACCCAAAGCAAGGCCACGTGGACTCATTGGTGACCTCGAACATACGTGAAAACATACAGGTCTGAGCCATACTCCTGAAGCTCGGAGGTACCGCACCTCCGCGAGGACTCACCATCATCCAAAAACATGAAAATCATCTTGACAACGCACGAGAGCTCTGTAGAGGCAACATGTCGGGGCGTTCCCCAAATAAATCACAGTGGAGTTAAGGTCATACTTTGTATGCAGGACATCGAGGCCATGAATGAAGACCGGAAGCTGGATCTCACGATCAGGCACAACATTGAACCTACGTTTAATCGTGGCCTCTGTCCGCACATCATCACTGAAACGAGCAACCTGAAGCACTGGACCGGTGGGCTGCATACAGCAGCATGTCTATGACCCTGAAAATGCCAATCATCCAGCAGCTGCTGGGCAGTGAACACATCAGTATTCCGAACAGTCGCCGGGGGCGCAAGTAACAGCGGGGCAGAACACCCCGCATCACAGTTGATGACCCTAACATCATCAGCCATTCTAGAAGCCCACCGGGCTCCTATCACATCCAGCATGCTTGGGCATCTCGCAACTACCTGTTGTAGAAACTCTGCCACGTCATGTTGAGATCCAGGACTGGTCCAGCTCCTGAACAACATCCTCCAGAAGGATTGCTCCAAAGATAGCAATCCTCACTCGAATCCCGCAAGCTGACCACAGATCTCAGCATGGGCGGGAACATTCCGCGCAGGCCAACTGCCTTCGCAGCTACAGCCATTAAACACTTCAACAATACATTGCTGTCGCAGTGATTGTTTCTGTTCCCCAACCTCAGCAGCAGAACCTGCCTCAAAAGTGCGAGTCCTCCATCATCGCCGCGATCCTCTGAGCGAGCGCACTCTGCTGAAGCCGGTCTGGTCTCATGCAGGCGCCCGATGCCACCCACGCCGCCGGACTGCTCATGGTTTGCAGGATCACCCACATCCTGTCCGCTTGCATGTCCAGCATCATCGGAAAAACCTGCGCCTCGTATTCGGATGCCACTGGCCTCGTCGCATGGAAGATTCAGCACTGTCAACAAGCACCTCAGACAGTAGTGCCAGGACATGTCCCGGCTGCTGTTGCTGATAGATGGCCCTCAATATTTCACAGCTTCTGGCGTTCACATGATAGTGAACGTTCGGCCAGGTATTGAACTTACGAAGGCAACGGTGGGCCCGATGCTTGACTTCACGCTGACACTCAAGCATCTGATCTTCCACTAGATGGGACGTGAAACAATGACGTCTGAGTGCCGCCTGCGTGTCAAAACATTGACCACACTCCTAACACACAAAAGTTTCGGAGAGGATCTTGTCCACTTGGATTAAGCGAGCACTTGACATGCCCGGGGCACGAACTTGTCCCCTAGTTGCTCAGCACTCAGGAACTGCCCATGCAGTATAGCCCCCGTTGTAGCTGGGCCTCAGAGGGTTTGAGAGTCTCTCCCAAGGCATGGTCCATGCCAGCCCTGTTCTGCAAAGCTGGGGCAAGGACCTCAGGGGGATGAATGATGCCAAACCTCTTCATGAAGGAATGGTTGGACTCCTCGGTGTTCATGCTATTACCGTAGGAGCTGGCAACCTGCCTGGCCTGTTGTACCATCAAAGGTACAATCTGCTTGGCTTCCATGTCCGGAAGGACTGTGCTGTCAATGCCAGGCAGCAAGCACGAAGGGAGACGCTTTCCACATCTTCATTGTCAAATTAGCCGGGACCGCCTGGCATCGCACAATGGGCTTGAGTCTGGCAAACTGGTTCTTTGCCATGAAAATGCGATGTTTGACCGTGGCCTATTCCAATTTGCGATAGCCGATCCCTAGCCAAGGCAAACGTGTCGAGTAACAACCTTGAAGTCAACGTTTGCCTCGTTGATCCTGCACCGCGTGTGTAGCTCGCCCTGCAATCACACCACGTATTTTTGAAGGACCTGTTCAGCTTTAGGGTCTCGCAGCTCCAGCAGAATGACCGTCTGGATCGAGCTGACCTGTAGGCCATGAGCAGCTAGATGCTGTAGAACTTCTTTGACTCTACGGCACGCCTCTTCGAGGGCCCTCCCTGAGTCAATGACCCTTTTGAGCAAGACATCGTCCGCATACGCGGTGTTTGTCTTGGCAACGTCAGCCCACTCACATCTCTATAGCCCTCTTTCAACAACGATCCTGAGACCACGGCCCACAAATGCACAAAAACATACATACCTACATATATAATTACATATGTGTAACGATACAGGAAAGGCATATGAAGAGAGAAAAGACCAAACCCCATCTTCGTGCCTCACGGCGCTCGAAAGCGTCATCTTCTGAAGGGCTCGGCGCAACTGGCGGAGGTGTCCGCGTTGCCGGCTGGGCTCGCCTGGCAGCTCACCATTCTTCTTGCTGGAAGTTTCAGAATGGCTTCAACGAGGGTTTTCTTCTTTTACGGTTCTTCTCCCAAAGTTGGGGTTTAGAGTTGAGAGTTGACGGGTGTACTGTTGGGCGGTTTACACTTGTGGGTGGCAGGGTTGGGGGTTTAGGGGTTTAGGGGTTTAGGGTTTCGGGGTTTAGGGGTTTTGGGTTTCGAGGTTTAGGGCTGCGGGCTTAGAGGTTTAGGGCTGCGGATTTGAGAGCTAATTGCTTGAGGCCCGGAATTCGAGGTCTAGGGTTTAAGCTGCTGGGTTTCGTAGGTTTGGCTTGACAACGAGGGTTCAGGATATGCGAGTACTGGATTAGACGTCAGACGTTCTTCCACTACCAAAGCTCGATGTTCTGAACTTGCTTTGCTGTGTCTCACTGTCTGTGTTCGGAAGACAAGTCTGCATCCTGGTGGCCGCATGGCTTGGTTCTGCTCCTGTCTCTGTACTGGGCAACCCTACATTGGCAAAGTTCGGAAACCACTGAATCTTTCAATTAGAATGCCTGTATAATACTACCGCATACGATGGTCTTCTTTCAAATCGTGCAAAAATACATTGCTGCCCCACTACATTGCTATGCTACCACATTGCTACGAGCTGATAGTATCAGATGCTCCTGCTTTATAAACGGAGTGCTACTGCACCCTGTATCATTTTAGCTACACAGCTGTAGAAGCAACCTGTTCGGTTATCATACTGTCACAACAGCATATTATGGCACAAAGCTGTCTTCGCAAGCTCTTTTCTACGTATCTACATTAAGTTAATCTCCGTTTCAAACTTTAACATGATATTCGTTTAGCAGCTTCGCAACCCCTAGTCTTATTTGAGCTTCGCCCGTATAGCTCCTTGAAAGTTTGTGATACTACTCTATCTACTCTCTTGTTGCTTCAGCCGATGGGCAGTCTTGTCACCACACTGACCACATTTCCTCCAACAGTCAACACTCTTGCAATGCTGCGTTCGTTCAGTCCGTTAATCTTGCCATACAGGGTCGGAATTTGGATGGAATACCGTACATACATACATACATACCTACCTACCTACCTACCTACCTACCTACCTACCTACCTACCTACGTACATACATACATACATACATACATACATACATACGTACATACCTGCATACGTACATACGTACATACGTACTTACGTACATACGTACATACGTACCTACAAACTTACATACATATGTTACATGTGCGTGTTTGTATGCATGCATACTGCATACTCTTTTTTAAAACTCAACAATCACCGAGCTCCCTATCCTTCACGAGAAAATTGAGACCGCACCTTTATTCCTTGAACACTGTGGAGAGCTCCGCTTCACACGATTTATGACATTTGTCACAGAAACAGCCATGAACACAGCGATGGGCATCTCTTTCCACGATATGAAACATAGTGATACAGCATCAGCAAGAATAAATGAAAACTCTTGTTTGGTAGGAACCAGCATAGGAAAGCTCCGGTGTTCCATCATGATAGCAACAACTAAAAAGTTTGTTACAATCTGCAATATGCTGTAAAACGAACAAGACTCGAATGGTCCCTTTCGTACTTATCAAGCAAGAGTTACGAGAGCTCCCGCTGCTTCAGAACAAACATACGATGGCACCATTATTATTATTCCTTGAAGACTGAACAATGGTCCTATTTTCATCTTGTGATACCAACTATGACAACTCCTAAATTCTAAACCGCAGCCACGGACAGAGCTACAGGTATCTTTTTCAGGATATGAGGGAAGCAGCTTCAATACAAACTAATCGGAGTCTTCTGCTCCTTGCGCAGAAAAATTCAGCCATGTAGTGAAATACAACAATAAACAAACCGATCTTTGTCTGTTGATAAAACCTACGGAGACCCACGCTCTGCTGATAAACCGTCCACTCAGAAAATAATGGATGTGCACCATGTAGATGTGGGATTGCGCATGCGGATATGTGCCGCCGTTTGCACGTTTGAAGTTACCACTACGATTGACAACGAAGTTCGCGTGGGTTTCGCTGGGGAAGTCCAACCGCTCGATTGAAGATTTTTGAAGAGAGTTTGGACATGCAAAATGTTTCGTGTCTTGGAAACCACGTAAACGTGTAATATTAAAAGCCCTAAAACTCGCAAAATATTGTAATGCTGGACCTACGGATATTTCCAAAAAATGAGAATGTTTTTTGCGCATTAGGCGTCTTGAAACCCGCAAAACAGTGTAACGCTAAAAACTTGCAATATTTCCCAACTTAACACTCATTGGCGCAAAAAGAAATCAGCATTATTGTTGCAGGGTTTCATGAGTTCTAATGTTGGGGTTTTTTGCTTTTTTGAGCATTACAGTGTCTTGCGAGATGCAACTAAATTTTCCTGTGAGCACTACGATGCTTCGTGCGTTTTAAACTTGGAAAGTTTGGAAATCTTTTAAGCATGACAATATCTTGTGAATTTCAGGACACATACACGGTAATGCTCAGGAAATGCCAAAACGTTCCAATGTGTTGGAAAATTTTGCCCCACGCCCAGCAAAAGATGCTGGATTTTTTTGGGTGGAATTCTTTGAGCTTTACAGCATTTTGTGAGTTGTAAAGTTGGAAATATTGGAAATCTTTGATCATTACTATTGGAAATGCTTGATCATTACAACGTGCCCTGAACCTCGCAAGACACTGTAATGCTCCAAACGTTCCAAGAAGCCCAACCCTAAAACTCACGAAACACCGTAATGCTAACATGCTTCCAAAAAAAAACTGCCCCTCGGTCAGTGATGGATTGTGCTGCTTTGGAACTTATGAGCGGTGAGATTGAAGGATAGAAATTTTGGAGTCTTTTGAGCATTACACTGGGTGGTGTATCCCCATGTATGCTTATGTAAATGTACAGTATATGTATGTATATATATATATATGTATATGTATATGTAGATGTAGATGTATATGTATATGCAGACCTATATGTGCATGTGCGTATATCTGTCTATGCATATGCGTTCGTGCATGTCTGTATGTGTGTATGCACGTATGTATGTACGTGAGTATGTATGTATGTCTGTATGTATGCCGGTTTAGGGTGCGGGGTCAAGCTGCCCAGCAGCCGGGGCCCATAGCCAGGGACCCTGGCGCCGCTCAGCGATGGGCACGCGACGGGCTGCAGATGAATAGATGCATCCAGGAGGTCACGAGACGGAAGATCCCGAGAAACATGGGGAGTTGGAGGGCCTCTTCAAGATGGGCCACTGTGCAGGAATCCGCGACGGTGTCAAGGGGGGAATTTTCCCAAGTGACATGGACTTCGCCACCGAGACCGTGGACTTGCGGACCGTTCACATTAGGCAGCCAAGAGAGGGCTAAATCAATTCTATCACATACAGTGCATGTTGATGTGTTTCATCGGGAGGTTGGTCGCCAAGATGGGCAGCGACTTTCCTCGAGGCGTGCTGAAGGACACCGAACTGCAAATCGTGGTGGTTGGTGTTGGAAGCGCTGGTTTCGTGGGAGTCACGTGGACCTGTGCAGATTGCGGAAAGAAGCTACGCGCTTAGGAGCGCGGTTCATTGACAGCGTGACTGGAGGCTTGAAGGACTCTGGAAGATGGTGTCCTCGATCTCTCGACAGATGGTAAGATGACCATCGAAGCTCTTGTGGAGCACGAGTCTTCTCGAGAAAATGAAACTGTCGAGCTAGCGTTGCCTGAGGGAGCTAGTGTACAGCGGGCGCTGTGTTACGACTAGTGACTCTGAGGGCCGTTTTATACAGGGGCCAGCCTGAACGCACACATGTGCGCGATAAGGTTTAGTGTTGTAAGCCGCACACGCCACTTGTGGAGGGATGTCTCGGTTGTCTGTACTGGCCTTTTAGCTGATTTCTCCCAAGTACATACAGCGGCCCTCTGAGCTTGACCCAAGCTCTCGGCAGGGCTGATTTCTGTGCCGGCGGGTACGAAGTAGTCGTCGACCCCCATTTGAGCATCACATACATTTAATTAAATTTAATTATGCGCCGTTTTCGTTTGGCTGCGAACGACCTGGATTCTGTGCCTGTGAAAGTGAAAGGGAATGTAGGCAGGTATGCATGTATGTAAGTACGTATGCAGATTTTTGCAGTCGGTCACATGCGGCCAGGCTATGGTGTTCCTCTGCTGCTATTTTGCCATATATCGACGCAAACTGTTGTGCTGATCAAGCACCCCAGCAAGGTGCAAAATCAGAAAGGAATGTCCAAACGAAAACCTGTCGTGCTCACAGGCCCTTAGGTAACTGTGCCTGCACTTTTTCAGATATAGAAGCTTTACTGTGAATCATGTCCGACGCCCGGCGACCAGCTCTACTCATGGTATCTTATGATGAGGATTTAATTTGGTGGGTTTTGGCCTTGAGCGGTTTCGAGTCCAAGTAGGAGATAGGTTTGGGCTGTAAGCTACAGTTAAGAAGTTGGGGCTTTAGGCTTTCATCCGAAACCCTCGAACCCTCAACCCCAAAAACTAAATCCTGAAACCCCAAAAAACAAGGCAAACCTCGCGTGGTCTGCTCTGCAATCGCATGCTCCAGCACATGCACGACCTGGCTGTCTTCTTTGCGCTGCCGGTCTGGGGTAGCGCATGGTAGCACCCTTAAGGGGTTTTTAATATAGGGGCCTTAATAATTAGAATAGGGTTCGGGGGTATATTATACCCCAAAACCCTGTTCTTATTTTTAAGGCCCCTATATTAACTGGGGAGTTTGGAGCTCTGAGCTCTAAACCCTGAAGTGCTTGCAGGACTCTTGCGCCTGGGGATACTTTCGCCCACTTCCTATGGGAGCAGACATCTCTGGCCATAGGCTCCATCAACTGCACCCGAAATCTCCAATTGAGTGCCAATTGAGGAAGATGCCGGGAAGCTTTAATGAACATTTTTCACTTGTATTAAGAAGGTCAAGGGTCCCCATTAAAAGGTTTCCAGAGCAAATTTTAGACCCTCCTGCCGTGTTGAGACGGGTTCTCTTTAGGGCTTGGGGTGCTGGGTTTCTATCAGGCTCACTGCTCACTTTAGGGGTTGCGTCGGCTTTTCAAGCCTGAAACTTCCCAGAATGATGTGCCTTTTAGCGCATTTGTTCCCATAAAAAGCCTGGGGTGCGAGGCTTAGGCTGCAATCAAGACGAATGACTTCTCGGGACGTGAGGAACTTCGTTTCAAGATCCCCTGAAAGAAGAGAGCGATAACACGCACTGTACTCATGGTAAACACAACAACCATTCCAGCGCATTCGAGCACGTAGCAATCCTAGCCGTTTCTATCCTAAAAACACTCTCGGAGCAGCCCTCAGGCTCCCAAGCGGAGGATAGGCACCCAAAAACACATACTGCACGGCGGCGGGAGCACCAGTGCATCCCCGAACAAGCGCAGGACTGTAGCGAGAGCACGATTTTTGCGGTGGGAAGGTGCGCACCACGGCGTTGTGGCTGGAGCATGATTGCCAACTGCACCCCTGAGGACGGGTGCTCTAGGACTAAAACGCCTTGCCAATGACAGCACGGGACTGACGAAAGAGCGATATCCGTCCAAAAAAACAACAACGCACAGGACTGCGGTCAAATTCTCCAGTAGTGGTCTCACTGTGAATTCGGTGTCTTGGGCCGGACGGGCCCAAACGTGACTGTGGAAAGAATACCATTTCAAGCAAGAATGTTCACGCCGGGAGAAGCAGGATCGCCCTGTGCACTTACCGACATCTCATGCTTACACTCGCCCGAGCTCCTTACACACAAAGCAAGAACTCCGTAGTGTTGCCGCACTGTTAGGGGAATAATCGTAATCACAGCAGTGTTCCAAAAATATTAACACGATCAGTAAGTGAGCACAAATACTGTGAAACAGCAATGGAAAAGAATGGTGTTCATAGCAATGACCAAAGTCGCCACAAGGATAGGTTTGTAAGAACGGCAATAGCAAGTAAAATGCCCGTGTTTCACTACACTGTCGATCCCACATCAGGAGCATCTCAACTTCGACGAGTTTCTCGCACAGCCAAAGAGGAGAATGACTGCTGCTGCGCCCGCTGCTGCACCACCTTGCGCTGTTAAGAGTTCAGAGTTGTAAGAGTCATCAGTGTTAGGGGTCCAGTTCCGGTTACACCCCGGCACCGGTTTCCGTAACTGTTCCGGACCCCTGCAAGCCAGTCTGTGGGTCACAAAGCTGAACCCGGTAAAGGGTTGCTGGGTGTTTTTGAAAGGGGCTGAGGGTCGAGAGATGAGAGCATCGGGGGATGGATTTGGGGTATCGGGGTTTAGGCTTCGCTTCAGGTTGATTTGTTTTGGGTTGACTGGACTGCGAGCTCTGAGTTCGAAGCTTAGGAGGAGATTGGGGCGGATCTTTTGCACTTGCCACTCAAGGAAGTAATGAGCTCTGCTGCTTCTCGGCACCAAATGCTGTCAAGCTTCTTGTGCTGTCGCGGCTGCCACCGGCTGTCTGAAGCCGTTTCAAACACTCCTCGTAAACCTCAACCCCTGTTCCAACCCTAAATCGAAGTTGAGTTTGACCTTGATTGATCGAAGGAACTGACACAAGGGGGCACCAGGCCCCCAGTGGATGTACACAGCAAGCTTCCGAATTCGGGACTAACTCGTTTTGGGCCTTAGGGCTGAGCATCAGGATTCTCTACATGTAGCTTACACCTTTAAGCCCCAAGCCCCGAGCACCGCCAAGGATGTTGCTTATTTTCCGAAACAAGCTGGAGGGTTTCAAACTGTAGCACAACCACGTTTCTCAAGCCCAAAATGCAAGAACCCGAAGAAGAAGTGGTGCGCAAACAAAAGCCCTGGATGAAAACCCCGAACATCGGCTCGGGCATTAGGACCCAAAGTATGGGGTGTTCAAAGAAGAAACAAGATTATTCATAAGACTTCATATTTTAGTGAATTCTGGAAAAATCTCTAGACCAAACATGACAACTATGAACTAACCCAAAAAAAGAATATAAAATGTAAGAAAATAAATCTATGGGAAGTGACCTCCAGTCCAACATAAATCCTGTCAAGATAAATAGAACTATACTAGGAGCAAAGAGTAATAAGCAAGAACTATTAATAAGAAAACAACCTGAATCTGATGTAACCTCTAGTTGTTTAAGTTTCCAAAATACCAAGGGTAAAAGCGACAAAAGAGCCAATTTCACTCAGTTAAAACCACGCACTACCTTCCATCCGTTCTCTTATTTGTGTTTTAACTCAAGATTATATATTTTGCTCATGTCGTTCATGTGTGCTTACGTTGAATTGAAATAAACACGCATTACACTCACTACGTCCCTTTCATTTGTAGCCCCTCACCCTCAAAAACCTAACAACCCCGAAGCCACCCTAAAGCGCTGCCACCCTACAGCCTCAAAGCCTTGAAGCCCTAGACTCTACAACACTGACTCTACAGCACTGAAGCCCTACCTCAAGCCCTAAACCCCCTAAACCCCCTAAACCCTACACCCTAAACCTACAACTCCAAACCTCCATGCTCTCCCAGCCACTTCCAGCAGCAGCTGGAGCCTCTGACCGGCATCGAGCGACCGCAGGAGCCTCCTTGCCCTCCTTCGGTTCACATTTTTTGCGACTTAGGGTTTAGGCTTTAAGGATTCCGGGTGGCATTCCTAACACGGGCTTCGTTCGAAAGACGAAGAACACTGGTTCAAATAGCATTTGCCTCCAGCTGTGGCGAATCAAAAAGACTGAGAGAATCTAATATGCTACCTGCCCACGAGAAAGCACTCATCTCACAGAACCGGGCTCGGCAAAGGCTAAGTGATGACGGCTTTGTTGATCGAGAATTCTGTTTTCGATCTTGCCCATGGCCTGGTCGGCTTCTATCCAGGATTCAGAACTATATCTTGCAGCAACTACATCGCTGCGGAATATGATGGTGAGGGGTAACTGAGATCGACGTGCTGATCCAGTGCTCCGGAACGCTTACAGTACAATGTGTCCTGGATGGGCTGATTAAAACTGAGCCATTCTGAGCCCAACTGGTTGAATGCTTAGGGCTGAGGCCTTTTTAGTTCCCTGAGAATGCTCCGGGCAAAGGGAATTAAGAACCGCTTACCGTGGACTATGTAGAATCCTTGCAAGAACCGGCCCAAGAAGACAACCAACGCACTGAACCCAAATCTCGATTAACCTTCAAGTTAAAGCCTGATACCCTTTAAGAGCCTAAAAAACTCTGAGCCACAAAACCGTCCTTTTGGGCGTATCCCTCAACCCTACGGCCCCTGAAGAAAAAATCCTGGTGTTCGAATAAAATCTGCCAAGGGCTCTGATCCAACTTCACATGAGCCTGGTCGTGCGCCATGTGACAAAACTGGCAAGAATCCTGGGCTCTTGGGACTGAGGGTGTTGGGTGTTTAGGAATTGGCGCCTTGGTCTTTAGGGAGGGTTCAAGGGCTTCGTCCAGTGCAAACACCGCGATCAAAGCAGGCAGTGCTCCAACGACACCAGAAGACCGAAAGCAGGGGATGCTTCTGCTGCTCGTTTATATGTTAGTTCTGGCGCCAATCTTCCATGCTTCAGGCTAACATGCTGTCGATCCGCGTTGCAAGCACCGCCCTTCGCAATGTACACGCATGGCCGTGCACACAGCTCTGGATGGCCGTTGCTGCCAGGATTGCAGGTTGACACCAAGACCACAGCCATGGCTTTCTTTATACAGGGTTGATCGCGACTTCTTATAAGCCACAAAGGTCTGAGAGGCGTCGAAACATCCAAATATGCTCGAACGATACCGTGACCCAAACTCTTCGGACAGAAGCTGCCGCACGCAACACCTTCGTGCCGGGGCCGAGTAGGCCAGACCCGGGACGTGAGAATCCCAGAAACCCTCCAGCTGCCTTCTAAGCCCCAAACTTGGCTAGTCACCAGTTTCACGGCCAGTAGCGACAGCCAGAACCATCAACACCATCATGATAGTCATCACGATCCTGATAGTTATGAAGTGATAGTGATGGTAACAGCTAGAGCGACAAGCAGAGTAGCAGTACCTTCAGGCCCGAAACCCTCACTTTAAAACCTTAAAGCCCTCAATCCCCCAACCCTAAACCTCAGATGCGAAAGCCCTCGAAAACGCACGCAAATACGATGATGCGACACGTCGAAGCAACAAACACTAGCCATCACTAGCCTGAGTGATGAGAAACACAAGTCCCTCGAGTTCCCCAATAACCACAGTAGAAATCCGGTAACCCTTATCGAGCCCTTTGAATTGAAGGAACCCTACTCTGATTACTGAGGCCCCTAGACCCTAAACAATATTCTAATGCTTGAGACCCCTATATCACATACCCCTACGCCCCGACCCAGCCTGGAGCTCTTGTGGCTCTGTTCCCAGGTCGTCCAAGGCTTGCTGCAGCGACTGGCCTGCTGTAGGCTTGAGGGTTTTCGGTTTTAGGCCTCAGGGCTTTAGGGTTTAAGGGTTTCGGGCTTAGGGTTCAGGATTTTGGGCTCAGGCTTCAGGGGCTTTGGGGTTGAGGGTTTGGGCTTTGGGGGGCTTTCGGGAAGATTGGGCGGCTTTCGGTTCTTGCGGGCTGAGGTTCGGACATAAGGTGCTTTGGTTTCGGGGACTGTTGGCTTCAGAATTTCGGTGTGCTTCAGGGTGTTTTGGGCTTTTGGACTCAGGGTTCTAAGGGTGGCTCAGTGTTTGGAGTCTGGTTCTTGTTGTACCGCTGCCATGCGCTTGAGACTATGGCGCCACGTCCTTCAGCCTATGCTTGAGGTGCATCCTAAACTCAAGATGTACTCGGAACTTGGGGTTTGTGTTCGCAGCTTTGTGTGCAGCTTGCGGAGGTTGGAGGGGCGCTGTGGTCTTGGCGGTCATCAAGAAGAGGTAGTGCAGATTTAAGGTTGCAGTGTAGCCAGCATCTTTGGGATCTAGCGGTCTTCGCATCCTTCGGGGAAATCATATGACGGAGCGGGCTGGTCAGCGTGTAGCCAAGATGCTGGTTGATTAAACGAATGGCCGTCAGGGACTCTCAGGCGGCCGGCAATGGTCCATGTTCTGGGCTGAGTTACCCGCGAGTTATGCGGTGGCTGCCCACACATCTACGAAGGTATTGAAGTAAAAAGCATCGGAGTTGAATCGATGGATTGAAATCGATTGAAGGGTGAGGCACGGTCCAAAAGGCAGTGCACTGGCGACTCAGATCCTAAACCCGAAACCCTCAACTCCAAACCCTCAAACCCAAAGCCTAAACCCTTAAAGCGAGCGTTTCGAGATGTCTCTGCACTGGGACCCACGCTTCGCTCGAACCGCGCCTTTCTGCAGGGAAGGCTTCGGGGCTTTGGGGTTTAGGGTTTACGGGTCTAATTGTTCAGGGTCGTTGCTTTTTGAGCGCCTTTCTCCACAGCCTGTTGGTCATGGAATGCCTTCTAGCCGCCTGCAAACGTTGTGCTTGACCTTCAGAAATGTGCAAGCCCTTACACTCTCACTTGGCTTGGGGTTCAGGGTGTCCGGGTTTAGGGCTTAGTGTCTGCATGTGTCAAGGGGTTTTCCAGCGGTCAGAGAGTGCTTGTGGATCGTGGTCCTAATACGATTGCTGCGGTTGTTCGGGTTCGGAGCTTTGGAAGCAGCTTTCTTTTGCCGTATCTGGATATATTGGTGTGCAAGTTCTGAATGGATGAGACTATGGGGTGCTTGGCATGCGTATGTCAAGGGAAGGACGTTCAATTGGGCAGGGCATTTCAATCATTTAAGTTTAGGGGCTGGTTGCCAAGATATTCCCTAACCGAAGTTCCTGACCCGACGTGAAGAGGCCGTATGCTTCTGCCTCTGAACACCCTGACTCGGTTCTACGTATACGTCTAACTGGTATACAAAACGTCATGACTTTCACAGAGCGGCATATGTAGAGTGGCAGTGGCCAGGGCGGTGTCGCGGCAGTGCTGGGGGCACTGGTGGGTGACGATGGCGGCGGCGCTGGTTTTAGTAGCAGTTGCAGTTCAGCAAGAGCAGCAGCAGCAGCAGCAAGTAGCATTAGTAGTAGCACTGGCAGTGGCAATGGCAGTGGCAGTGGCAGTGGCAGTAGCAGGAGTGGCAAAGGTGGCAAAGGTGGCAAACGTAGCAGAATTAGCATAGGTAGTAGAGGTAGCGAAGGTGGCAGCAAAGTGCAGTAGTGTAGCAGCAGTAGCACGAACAGCAGTACGGCAGTAGCATGTAGTGGTCGTCTTCGTCGAAGTATCTGTAGTAACAGTCGTCGTCGTACAAATTGGTAAAGTAGTAGCAGTAAGAGTAGCAGTAACTACTAGTAGTAGCAGTAGTAGTAG